GAGACGGAGGTTGAGGTTGTTGCTGCTCTGTTTGCCATGCGGACGCATCGCATTCTAAATAAAGAAGCAGCGTCGCTCGAAGTACACACAAATGTACATAAATATTTTGTTTGAACGCTGGGGTGGACATTTTAGTGGTTTCCGAAACTGATCATCAGCGAAAATATTAAAAAAAAAAGCCGGAGATAAAGTCATAACAAAATCTTTAATATTAATGTTTGTTGGGGATTATATTACCAAAACGTGCAGAATTTGAGGAAATGGGAAACTTTAAATAAATTTATTATCAGACAGAAAGAATTCAAAAATGCGTAAGCAAACAAATCATAAGAAATATTATGTTTTTTTGGCAATAAAGGAAGCAAATGTCTTTAGAAAGGAATTATAAAAATAAGCATAACAAAATTTGGAAAATGAAAAAATCAAAAAACTGTTAAAAATTCTTATGAAAGTACTTTATAAAGGAATATAAATATTTTGAAAAGTTTTTGAAATCCGCACATATAATTCATGAAATCAAGTTATCTTTATTTTCTACCTTTCAGTATTTGCCACCTAAAGATCACTTTCTAGATTATAACAAATATTAAGTTCCATAAATATTTTTATAAGTAAAGTGCATCTAAACCCCCATGGGTATTATCTCAGGAACTCCCTTTAAACCATTGTTTTAAGAAATCTTGCATAAATCATTTTTGTTTATGTCAAAGTTATTTGGTGGGGAAATGTTCGACTCAATGTATAAATCATGTGTCATCAGGTGTGTTAAAATAGTTTCTAGTGGTTTGTTTGTTGTGGAATTTTATTTCCATCAAACCGGCGAAAACGTTCTTCACGCATCGCGAGTTACTCAATATTGGATGCTTATAAAATTGAATATATATCCGTATGTTTGTTTAGTGGGCGCTGTATTCACATTGTAAATAAATCACAATGACTGAATGATTGGTACAACCGGGAATTGGGTTCAGTGTTTGGTTTCGCCGAGTTTATTGGAATTTAGCGCGGAATATAAATAGCCAATTTGCGGAGACCTGGTCAGGATGGCAGTATCGAATTTGGTCATTTGGAATAACCAGAATGCCGACTGTGGGAGAGAGGATCGCATCGGGCGTTGCATTCAACTGGTAGCTGGTTCCGGCGCATCTGACCTTATATGTAGGATCGGTAGTTGGGGTATATGCACTTGGGTGACTGGGTAATCTGGGTATCTGACTATCTGGATGTGGCCAAGATTCAGTGTTGACGCAAGTCCGAAGTACACGTACTTGTGTTCCATTGCCCGGTCTCTTCTGGGTCTACTTAAAATTCCGCGGTGCAGTTCGAGAAAATAAGAATGAGACCAGACCTTTCATCCATAACCACTTATGCAGAGGCATAGCATCAAAAGCACTCGGCATCCCGACAAAAACCACATACATAGTTTATCTTTATGTTTCCAATTTTCATTCTCCCAGTGGGCTCCTCTGTTTGTAATTACATGTACGGGTATGTAGCTAATTAATTTCACTTTTTTCAGATTTTTTTTTTGAGTTCTTTTTTTTTTTGCCCACGCTTTTGATCGCTTTGGGCTAAGGTCTCAGACAAGTTCAAACATTTGCTTTGTAGTTGGCAAAAGGCGGCCGCCGAGATAGGGAGTCGGGAGAACGATCCACCAGATTCACTAGACCATCGGCATTGGCATCGTTTAATTGTGCAGTGCGTGGGGGGCACTCTTTACGTTTTTGGATGATTTTACTTTGACGCAAATGAGTCGCTTAGTCAGGGTAAATTAGGCACTTAAAAGCATAATATGAATACAGGTTCAAGTACGCCTGCTGTGCCTGTAGGTGTGTTATATAATTTAATTGGGTTATACGAGGGTGAAGAGGAATTTTTATGGCCACCATGTTGGGTAATCCTTTCGGGTTAGCATAATTGGGGTAATGGGATACTTTTTAGCATAAGCATTCCTGAAATATGAGAAATTATATAATATTATTTATAGATACATACCTATACTGTTATCTTGATAAGGAGGGTCTAAATATTCTGCAATGTAAGCACAATTTTTAAGGAAAATATAAACATCTTCCAATGTTAAATACGAATTCCTAGGGTCCTAATATGATACAAATATTTTTTATAGAACTTAAAAAAAAAGGTTCCTAACTTTTAAAAATTTAAATGTTACCAAAAAAATTTGGTAAAATAAAAATTATACTTTGATAAACAAATAGCAAAGTCCTCACTCATAAATGTCAAGATAAGAAACTGTATAACTGTGAATCATAGAGAATTTTATAAATATGGCGATGTAAAACTCTTTTGGCATTTCCGAAATGTAACCGAATTCAAGGTTAAGTTCAAATGACTTTATGTCTTGCGTTTCAATTTGTTTTGGCTACTGGAACACCCAAATACATACCAAATCCGATCATTCCACTTACCCCACATTTTATTTCTATTTACAGTGCATTTGTCAGGGTCTTTGGACTCACGGATTCGTTACGGTGGTATTACCGATTCGATCGGTTTTCGAACGACAACGATACCATAAGCAATTGAGCATGAAAGTGGTGTGCTTGATTTTCGAATTCCTGACGGTGGTACAACTGCTGGTCGAAGCTCAGGTGAGTGTATGGATCGTATAGCCCACCCACTTGTCGAAACCGCATTACGTCAACCCGAAGCAATTCGTTTGGGAACTGCGAACTATTTACGATTGCAAGGTCAATTACCGCAACCAAATTAGTCGCACTCTCGTTTTTCATTGTTGGCGGGGGTTCGGGTTCTCCATAGGTTGGCACGAAATCGCCTCCGGAACGATATAGTTCTCCTTGAGCTTGAGGTGCAGAGCCGTTCGTATTTCCGCATGATTTGATGGGAATGTTTCGGTTTTCCATTCTGGGATTTTCCGATTTGTCCATGACCTACGTCCGATTTCAAGTGGGGCATTTATTGGCACCTCATTATGCGAAGCTTGTGCGCCAAAACGCTTTAAATCATCGATTGTGTTATTTCCACTAATTTCCTCTGTAAACATGATCATTAAAATAAATCAGTCGTTCAATTTATTCACTAATAGGTTGAAATACAAATCTCTTGATTACCCAAAATGTTAATAGTTTCCTGTTTTGGCAAAAACATTATAGAAAAAAAATCATTTGATTAGGTGAAAGATTTTAGTCGCCGAATAAATGAACTATTTTGTTGTTGGATTATCATAGAAAAGTGCCGGTTATGGTGATGCTGGCAGGAATTTTAGAGCCAGTCATTGAACTAATAAAACTTTTGGAGCTGTCGTTAATTTCGAGTCTAAGGTCAGATGGGTTTTAAAACTGACACCAGGAAAACGGGTACTAAAATGGACTCAATATATTTTATGTTACAAGTTCAAAACATCCATTCAGACTTTTTTTATAGGGGTAAAACGTAACAACATGGATAGAACATAAATCAATGCCTAACATTATAAGTATAGAAAATATTCAGATATCCTGTTTTAAAATTTATATGCTTAACTACGGATATCGTAATATTACTGATTCTAAGTGATAAAGATTTTTAAGACGTAGGATTATCAACTTGAAATTTAGAGTGATACTTCTTAGGTTAAAATTCTTGTTTAAGTTATTTATTATTTAAAAGTTACCAGTTAATTGAGAAAATGTTCATATACTTTAATGCATTAAACATTATCTTTGTAAAACTTGGCCCAGCTCTGGGCTCTGGATAACACAGTATTACACCAGAGAACGTCCAGTTTTATGGACTCTTGCAGCTGCAGGGCGTTGGTGAAGAGGTTAGGGCAATCGGTCGGTCCTCGACAGACGTCGAAGCCTATTTTAGACTGGGACGGATGCAGGGATCCGCCGGATCGGTCGGCGAAAAGCGTGAGTTATTTATAGAGCGGCGTCGCGTCGCCTGGCGTCGCCGTCTACGCATTTGGAACTGGAGCTGGGACCGAAGTGTATATAATGGTATACCAATGGTACTTTCCTCGGGGATCACAATGCGAGCGCAGACACCAAACTGTCGAGAGCAATGACACTTCAAATAAAAAGCGGCGACATGTCTGATTTATGGTGGTTGGATGAGGGGCAGGAAAACAGGGAAGCTGGGAAGCAGGGCAGCGAATGGTGGGCTCCTTGAGGCCGAGAAGTCGTAGGGCGCGCTCAGATCGCATTTCATACGCTCGACCCCATAAAAAAGGGAAATTCAAAACCCGATCTCATACGTTTTTCCATTCCATCTTTCAGTGTGGGCACGTGCAGGAGGCGAAGAGGGAGATATGGGACGCAATGGGTCACCATAGGCACCGTCACCATTCGTATCACGGATCACATTGGGTGGACGGTCGACGGGTGCACCGCCTACGGATGCCCCACCCACAACGCTGGAGTGGGCGGCGTCGATCCCTCAATCACCACCAGCCCTTCAGCCGGTGGTCACAGTGGTCGCCATGCGACGAGGAGTGCGTCAAGCGGCGGGAGCGATTCTGCAAGGTGAAGCGGAAGTGTGGCCACACCAAGCACGTGGAGCAAAGCAAGTGCCGGCAGTGAGTATAATTAATAATTTAATTTTTATTTGTATTTTTATTTAATCACGGCTTTATCAAAATCACGTTTTGACTAGGCTGAACACCAACTCACCGATCAATATAAAATTTTGACGGTACATACCAAAATCTTTTATCACTGACTTATTACTGTCATATCCCCCCTAATATTTTTAAGGCATAGCATTTTCATTTTGCTTTTATTTGTCTTGAATCTATTTAGACTTTAGATTTTTTTTGGTGTACCTTTATTGTTGGGTAATATTTTTTTAAACGAACATACAGAAATATTAAAGAAATAAAAATATAAAATCAGAACATACAAAAAACATTTTTAACTAATGCTTAATTTTTTGGCTGCCTGAAAAATTGCGTCTTTCGACTAAATTTTGGATAGAAAATTTGAAGTATGCAAAACAAATTTTTTATTCAATAAGCATTTGAGTATAATAGAGTAATAGTTTTACAAAAAGATTTTAGGTACCATTACTTTTTCTTTAAATTTCATTGTCAGCTTGGCAAATTGCATACTTATTATATGAGTACCTAAAACATGGCACATCGTTCATTCCGCCGTTTAAAAGTTCAACGCAGCGCTCAACACCATCTTCATTATTGGGTTCTCCCCAACGCCACTTCAAAAATTTAGGTTTTTTGCCGGATGCCTCGGATACGTAGGTTCCCTTACTGACCAGGTCGTTGATTCCAAGCCAGTAGTGTTTGTCATCCAGTCTTTCTGCGAGGGCGGTAAGTTCATCTTGGTCTTTGATGGCAGCTATATATCCACCCAGTCCACGACAAGTTTCTACGGCTTGATTCCAGTCGCCTGGTGTTTCACTTATATGAAAAAGTCTAGAACCGATTTGTTCAAACTTATCCCTGATTATTTTTCTACCAACTCCGGTAAAAGCGTATGTTGCTGCGGACTGTTGATTCTCCATTTTGCTCTGCACTTCCTTCTGGAAAGCTTCTATCCTTTCCAATATCTTCTGGAAGTCATCTGTATGTTTTAGAGATTCTTGTTGATTTTCCATCTTGCTTTGCACATTCTTTTCGAACGCTTCTATCCTTTCCAATATCTTCTGGAAGTCCTCTGAACGTTTTAGAGAGTCCTGTATCTGATGTTCTTCAATTTTTGCCAGCCTTTCCTCGAAGTTTTTGGGGATGCTATTACTAAAAGATTCCATTAGCTGAGCCTTCATATCGCTTAGGTTCTCCATATGATCTCCTAGAAAGATATTATTGTTTGATATCTAAATGGATACCTTTTGGATGTCTAACTTACTCTGTAGCCCAGTCAGTTGATCTTTAATTGTAACTACCATCGTCTGTGTTTCAGTCACAACATCAGAAACATTGGATTTGCACTGCTGAGCAATGTGATCCAGCAAGGGAAGCATTGCGATCAAAAATTTATTTTCCGGTACGTTCCGTGGACTTCTTGATAGTTCACCGTCCCAAGAATATCCTTGGGATACACATAGATTCCAAACAATAAACGCGATGGTTAAATAAGTGCCGAGTTTAATCATATTGACCGCGATCAACCACAAACGTTGGACTTTTGGTGTACAACTGATACTAAAGTAAGGTTTCGGATGGCTTTTATATACTGTGTTTATGCTATGCCCATTTCATGAAATCAATTCATGAAATGGGCAAATTCGTGTGTACATAAACACCTTTTCATGAATTCGATAACACACGAAAGTTGACTATGAATTCAGCCCCAATTCTCGAAATGTTGAGGCACAGCCTACTTCACAGCCTACTACTCTATAGAGCTCTATATCAAATTCAAAAAATTTGACAGCTTTACTAATATCATTTCATGATTTTGTCTGTGTTGTATAAACAGGGGCTATTATAATTTCGTGTATTGGAGAAAGCATGAAATTCATAGCATAAACATAGTAATAGAGCTGCACAGAGATAAGAACAAATTTAGATTCACAGTGCTAATATTCGGGTATTTCTGATTTTAATGGTAAATTCCATTAAAGATTAATGATTAAAAGGAAATCATTATTTTTTTTTATGAGTTTTAGTTAATTGCTTAATGACATGGAAATAATGTCATGCCTATTTTAGAATAAATAATTTTGGAACAGTTTCGTCCAAGTAGCTTTACAACTGACAAATAAGTTTGCGTTAAAACGGACGGACAGACATGCAGACGAACTCGGCTGTTAATGCAGATCAAGAATATATGTATATACGCAACATATGTAGAGTTATTTTAAAATAAATTTAGCACAAAGTATAGTACAAAAGTACATATGCACTTAAGAGTATGTCTATTTTTAGCATTAGTACACACAAATATTAGGAATATATTTTTTTTAGGCCATACTTTTTTAGTTTGTTTATTCCCAAAGAGTTCTAAATTGAGCACGGTATCTCCTTACATTGACCGACATTTACTTGAAGTTACAAAATATATTTGTTTTATTTGAAAATCCTAATTATTCTAATACATAACTATTTTTGTGTTTTTTATTTATGTTCAAAGACAATAACTGAATATTATCTAAATACATAACATGAGCATATTTTCTTTTATACAGCTGTCTTCCTGCACCTCCTATAAAGTGGCAACAACCGTTAATTTTAGATGATAGTCACTTCCGCGAGAGGAACCACCCGCTTCCGCAACCACAACCTCAACCGCAGCCACAGCCTCATCCGCCTCCTCCACCGCCTCCGTCAATAATCATAAACGCTGCAGCTGCTGCATCAAGTGGTCCGACCGTGGATTATAGATATACCGAATACAGGCCCCCACCAATTCCTGCACCAACTTATCCAGCAGTATATGCACCAAGTTATCCCCCAACTTATCTACCAACCCACCCTCCAACTCATCCTCCAACTTATCCTCCAACTCATCCTCCAACTCATCCACCAATTCCACCTCCTACTTCTCCCTCAAAATCGAGAGAGGTGGTTCGTCATCCGCCGAAATACCCCGGCAAAGATATATATAGCGAGGAGGATGTGGAAGATGATCATGAACCTGAACCTGAAGAAGATTTGATAAGTTCCAACGAACAGGGTGACTTCTTTGTGCTCAAACATCATCGCCACAGGAGACGGCAGAACCATGGAAAGCTATCCCATAGAAAACCACCAAAGGAGGATTACGACGAAGATGACTTTGTGGACTTTGGCGAAAGAAGGTCTGTTAGAACCAGAAATATTGGCGAGGATAGTAGTGTGGAGGGGGATGTTTTTCAATACGAGGACTTCGATATGCCTGACCCTAACTATTTGGATTCTGATGAATCAGAGACCGAATTTCGCAACATCAGCTGGGTACAGCCACCCAAGGATGGGATTGCTCTTAGGAGACGACGGGTCTATTCCAAGTGGAGTCGATGGACCAAGTGTTCGCCAAAGTGTACAACAAGGAGATATAAGTAAGTTTCAGTACGAAAAATATCTAAAACTCATATAAAATAGTATTGCCCTTTTGAATTCATTAAAAAAAGCATTTAAAATTTCAAATGATTTTGATATATTAATTTGATCCCATTAATGGGATCGATCATTTTAATTTCATTTGAATTGTCAGTTCTGAAAAATTTTTTAATTCATAAAAATTGCAATTGATGATTTTTTGATGTGCAAATAAGTAGGTAAATTTTCTGAGAAATCAAAAAGCTATAAAGATCAAAGAAATTAAATGGTTTTAACAATACCACCGAAAAAGAATTAAAACTCCTCATGCTTTCTTTTTACACAGTAAAGAACTTTATAAAATCTTGTATACCTGCAGAAAATGCCGAATCACCGATCAGTGTGGACGGGAGGTTCTTCGGGAGATGGCTTACTGCTATACGGAGGGCAGTTTCTGCCAGCAGTGGCTGCAGACGCAGTTCCAAAAAACCCCGGCCTTCGAGACGAGACCTGCATCCGGTTCACCAGCCAACGCCATGAGAAGGATGCAATCCGAGCAGCCGGAAGTGTCCATAAATGACCTTAATTATATAATGACTGGAAAGGGTTATCGGGGACCAGAGTACACACCACTGAAACTCAACTGCGGAATCGTTCGCAGCGGAACTGGACGAAGGAGCATGTCCAACATGCTGAAGATCATCGGTGGACGGGCGGCGAGAAAGGGGGAGTGGCCATGGCAGGTGGCCATCCTAAATCGCTTCAAGGAAGCCTTCTGCGGGGGCACTCTTATAGCTCCACGGTGGGTTCTAACCGCCGCCCATTGTGTAAGGAAGGTGCTCTACGTTCGAATAGGTGAGAATTGTATATCATCTTATCATTAAGAAGAGAAAGTAATACACATTTCCTGGTTATCAGGTGAACATAACCTGAACTATGAGGATGGTACGGAGGTGCAACTCAGGGTAATGAAGAGTTTCACACATCCTAACTTTGATAAGCGTACGGTGGATAGTGATGTGGCACTGCTCAGGTGGGTTTAATTGTACAATATGGGAGTTCTATATCACCAACAAAAATATTTTAACCATACAGGTTACCCAAGTCGGTAAATGCCACGACCTGGATAGGATACTCCTGCCTGCCGCAGCCTTTCCAGGCGCTACCCAAGAATGTGGATTGCACGATTATTGGATGGGGAAAGCGTCGCAATCGGGATGCTACTGGAACCAGCGTGCTCCACAAGGCCACTGTTCCCATCATACCCATGCAGAATTGCCGCAAGGTTTACTATGACTATACTATCACTAAGGTACTGGTTAAGGTATAGTAATATTATCTGAGTAAACTTAACTGAGTTATTTTTTGCAGAACATGTTTTGTGCTGGCCATCAGAAGGGTCACATAGACACGTGTGCCGGAGATTCGGGAGGTCCTCTCTTATGTAGGGATACCACCAAACCCAACCATCCGTGGACCATCTTTGGCATAACATCATTTGGCGATGGTTGCGCCCAGCGAAATAAATTTGGCATCTACGCCAAGGTGCCCAATTACGTGGACTGGGTGTGGTCGGTTGTTAACTGCAATGGCAACTGCAAGATGCAGTAGCGTCTCGATGGGTACTTAGATGTCGCGGACTTGGGTCCGTCAATTTGCAGAGGCTGTGAAAAACTAATTTACACTTTAAGTGTACGATCCGTGGGAGAAATCTTCGCTTGATCACCATGTCACAATTCATCATGTGCTCATCTTACGATCCTAAAACTAGTTAACTAGAAGTTAAACGGAACAAAGTCGATTGTAAATGTAGGCAACCAAATATTTATGTAATTAAACCCTTAAAAAAATACCTACTAATTGAATTAGATTTTTCTCTAAATATAATTTTAGTTCTAATGTACATGACTAAACTCCGTGTTTTATGTTAAAAAGCTATTAATAATATCTATCATTAAATTTTCACCTATGACAAATATTATTAAGGTTAAGTGCAAACAGAAATCTGAGATGTCGGATTGAAGAATAATCTAAATTAATAGTCATGTAAACTGTAAATAATTAAAGTTTAAATCTATTAAAAAGTATATCAGAAAAAATATGATCTTTAATGAATTCTCAGATCAATTGCAAACCAACTAATCCTCTAAAAAATGGGTATCTCGAATAAAAACTTAGCAAAGAATTCTTTCCTTATAGGCATACCAAAGAATCAGAGATATATATATTACTTATTAGTTTATTATATTGGTGTTAAATGCTGCACAGTTTTGCTTCCACAATAAAACTATTTAACGTGATCCCTATACACATTCTTTTTTACTACTACGAGTACACAATGGATTATAAAAACAAACGATCACAATAGAGAGGTGAGTGCGTAAGCACACATGCAAATAATATATCTGTATAAAAACATTTCGTATAAAGTGGTTTGGACATAGAAGCCTACCGATCGGCTAGGACATAGTGAAGCGCTACGGATGCCAGAAGAACCAGCAGGGCCACTGCAATTCCCACCATGTACAGGCTGCGCGAAAGTTCAGGCTTTGGCATTGTGCTGGACAAAATTCTGGAATCGTCTGTGCGATCGGCGCCTGCGTTTGCGTTTGTGAAGTTTGCGTCATCGGGCAGTCCTTCGGCCTCTACGGAAATGGTCTCTGGGTCCAGTTCCACGTCCAGGATCTGTTTGGCCTGGGCCACCACCACAGTGGGCGCTTCGCCACGGAAAAGGTATTCGGAGAACTGAACCACAGCTCCAATCGATGTGCTGGGCCCCTCTGAAGGCAGACTGAAGAACACCCTCCTCGGTGGCTCACTGATGTACAATGCTTCATTGGTCACATAGGGATCGGTGAGTCCATCGCAGTAGACTTGAATACGTGTGATCAGGGAACGCAGCACATCATCGCGCAGAAAGCGCTTCACATCTGCTATACTGTTCCGCGGACTGCAGAAAACCTTTGTGGCAATTATGCCGCTCATGTGCAGAGTTCCATTAAACTCGCGCACCTTGATGTCCGTCGGTTTGCTCAGCTGGCACTTCACCGGCAGCACTATGCTCGCCCGGATGGGGTCACCGCTACCGATGACTCCCTCCGACGCAAGCTGGGGCAGGGAGTCAGTGGTGTTGCTGGCGGCTGTGGCAGTACCTCCACTCGCAGATGTGGGCTTCAGCTTATCTACTTTGGCCTTTTTCTTTTTAATATAGGCCTGGAGATCGATGGTATCCTCGACCACTTCGTTCTGCAGGAACACCTCACTGGCCAGCAGGTTCTTGCGTACCGACACTATAATATGCTGGAATTGATCTTCGATGTTGACGCGTCGTGTTGAATCCAAAATGGGTAGCACGTCATCCAAATCGTAGCTGCACTCCAGCTGAATCCACTCGAAGGGCTTGTCCACAAACCTGTACTCCATGTTGGAGAAAGTGCCGCCGCTGTCGAAAAGAATACACAACTTAAATTGATGCTAAATCAGGCTTAGTACAATCAAACTACCATATAAACAT